TATATATTTATCTGATATGATTTAACAGTTCATTTCTTGTTATATATCTAATTATCGTTATAAATAAATATAATTATCAGCAATTTGGTCTTATCCCTCTAGAGAACCCTGTCTAACACAACCACTGCAAAGGACTGGATCATCTCTGAATTACAACCCTTGCAGCAACCAGCCTGAGGACACACCATTGCTTCAGCAGCAATCCGCTCAGCGTGGTCAGAACTAGATCAGTAGCTGCCACCTTCCCTAACTGGTGCCCCTATTTTCAATTTACTACCACCCCTGGTGGCATCGTGGTGAAGTTGGGCTGTAATGCACATGGTTGGCAGTTTGAAACTAGCAGCGGCTCCACAGGAAAAAGATTGTGCTTTCTACTCCCGTAAACAGTTACAGTCTGGGGAACCCCCAGGGGCTTGCTAAGAGTCAGTACTGACTCTATGGCAGTGAATTTGGTTTTTGGTTTAGGGGAAATCCAGACATGTGCCCTATCTTATCCTTGGTTGGTACAAACAGTCAAATGTTCTTCCGCTGCTAAGCAAAAATGGGCAGTTCAAACCCACCCAGGGATGGTTGCCTTGAAAAAGGCCCCCCCCCAGCGAGCTGCTGTCTAACATTCAGTCATGAAACTGTATGCTGTTGGACTTGCTTATTCATTGTTCAGCTGCTCACTGGGAGACCAGTGGGTCAAACCCACCAGCTGCTCCTTGGGAGGAAACACTTGGCCTAGGAAGTCCCATGGAACAGAGAACTCTGCTCTCTGAGTCATAATCTATTCACTAGCGCACATCATCTTCCATTTAGGTCCCTGGGTGACACGACCATTAGTCATAAAGGTTGGTGGTTCGAACCCATCCTGGTAATCTTCCTGAATTCAAAAACCTGAAAACCCCAGGTTTTCATACACGGGTTGACATGAGTAGGAATGGACTTGGTAGCAACTAACGACTTTTCATTTTGAATGGTCTTCAGTTATTTATAAGGGTCTGAGAAACCAAGTTCATTATCCGTCCCCAACATCTCGGAAGAAAGACCTGGTGATCTACATCCAAAAACCTGGCAGTGAAAATTTGAAGGGCCACCACTGTCTGATCCTCCACCCATTATGTGTATGGTCTGGGACCAAGTGGCATTTCAGCCGTTGTGGCTTTAAGACCCACATGAGTTGGGGCAGGGCAGCTAACAAGCTTCCTTCACTTGCAGTCCCAGCATCTCAGATCATATTCCAAGCGCCTGAAGCAAACTCTATTACCCAAATACCTGTGCACCATATTAGTGGGCCCAAGGTGTCCAAAAATTGGGCTGTTCACACAAGTAGATTAACTCCATTGAGAACCCAGCATCCTCTTCTTGTCTATTGGCGGAAAGGGGTGGTCTTTGGTAAGTCCTTCCAAAAAGATTCCTTCTAATAATTTTCTTATGCCAGTTTCCCCTAATATGTTTCATGAATAACATCCTGTTGGGGGTTTTAAGTCAGAGTGGTAGTGGATTTTTAAGGGATCTCTTGGCACAACAGTGAAGCACTCAGCTGCTAGCTGAAAGGCTGGCAATGTTGATGGTTCAAATCCACCAGCCGCTCTGTGGGAGAAAGGCTTGCAGATGACAGCGAATATCCCGTGAGGCAGCTCTACTTTGTCACGTAGGATCCCTCTGGGCTGGTACCCATTCCATGGTTATGAGTTGGGCGGTTCAAACCCACCCACGGGTGGGTGCCTTGGAAGAAAAAGGCTCCCCGGCGAGCTGCTTTCTAACATTCACAGTCATGAACCTTATGCTGTTGAACTGGCACACATGGGCTTGCCAGGAGTTAGAATCAGTGTTTTTGTTGTTAAAACAACAAATAACACCACCAATTAAAGAGGATACACAGGATCGGTAAGGTACTGGGATATGATGAGGATCCTAGAGTAGAGCCTGGGTCCACATCTTTGCACTTGATTTAAATGCTGCAATGTTCCCGCTTTCCACGCCTCGGTTTCCCCGTCACGGGATGGATGGCCCTGCGGCTTAACTCCGGGTCTTGTGTCCACTTCATCCTGAACCGGACTCGGGGAGAAGCGCTTCTTCTCAGGCATGGACGTAGCCGGAAACTACATGACCCAGAAGGCTATGCGCCGTGCGTCGACCGCTCGAGTGGACCAATGACGGCCTAAAGGGAGGGGAGCGTTTCCGGCAGTCACGTCAGCGGGGCGGGACTTCCGGTTACTTCGGAACGTGCGCCATTTGCCTATGGCGTTTCTGTCCCTTCTGGTCTTCACCCTTAGAGAAATCATCCAGGGCTGCTCCCCTCTTCCTTCGGGACCGAGCCCCTGTTTGAGAGGCGAACCCCGGCCCGGGCGTCCCCTCGGCACCTGTCTGGGGGTGGGCTCACCTGCCTCCCCGCTGCACCTCCGCAGGCGCCAAGGGCGGCGCCCGGACCCCGGCGCGCCTGACCTCAGGGAGACTGAGGCCCGAGGGCGACGCTCAGCCCTGTCCCCGGACCGGGGCGCCGCAGGGTGGGTCTGCGGGGGCCCCCTCCCGGCCTCCGGGGCCCCACGATGGCGGCGGCGCTGATGGATCCGCCCCAGGTGAGCGCGGGCGGATTTCGGATGTTGGTGAGACTTGGGCGGCACACCTATAGGTCGCCGGTTCGAACCCGCCAGCCGCTGGGCAGCAGGGCAGTGAGGCCGCCTGCGCCTGTAACGCCTTGCAGCCTCGAAGACTCTATGGGTCTCTGAGTTAGGGTCAACTGGACTCTGGGAAGGGGTTTGGTTTGGGACGTGGGCTGAGCTCCTGGGGGCCAGGAAAATCAGTGGATTCTGTCCAGTGGGCTGGCCAGCCACTTGATCCCAAGCCCGAGGACAGTGTCAGGACCCTGACTGAAACCCCCAACTTTCTGCCACCCGTGGATTCCGCCTCAGCGGCCCCGTAAGATCAGAGAACTGCCTTCTGGGTTTCTGAGACTAAGTCTCTCTGCGAACAGAAAGCCTCATCTTTCTCCCGTGGAGCAACTGGTGGTTTCGAACCGCCGATCTGTCAGTTTGCCACCCAACTAGTAACCCACTATGCCACCAGGGCTCCTCCCTGAGCCTTGCTCAGTATGAAGCTCTTTCCACAGGCTCTCATAATCCCTACTTAGAATAAAAGAATAAATACACCCTCCCTCCACCCCCCACCTCCAGACCCTTTGAAGGCCTGGTAGCACAACGATTCAGCAACGTGCTACTGTCCCAAACTGGCGGGCAGTTCTGTGAGAGAAAGGCCTGGCATCCTGCTCCTGTAAAAGTTACAGCCGAGAACAGGGTATGGGGCAGCTAGCTCTGCGCTGTCACATGGGGTAGTCATGGGTCTGAATCAGCTGTTGGCACCGAGCAGCAGAATCGAGGCTGTCTCTCGTGTGTAGTGGTTGATTGAAGAACGGATGGTGCTCCCTCTAGGGTACTGTTTCCCAGAGTGGGGCATGTTCCCCAGGGCCACCAGAACCGTCCCTGGAGCTGCACAAGCAGATGTCTACACTTTATTCTCGATGAACTGCTAGGGAAGCCCTGAGTTTAGTTTTGTTTTTCTGAAAAGGGAGACATTTGCTCCTAAGTTTGGGAGCCTTTGTTCTAAAAGTTTATGTTGTGTGTGACTTAAACCCAACTCCCTACCTTGACCTGCAAGTGTCTACCTCATACACCCAGACCAGTCCCCTCACAACCTCGTCTTTCCATGATCCCCTTGCTCGCTGTTCTGCAAGCACACCATTTTGGCTGTGCGAGGTTCTTTCACATTTCAGTCTTTATCCTCTAGACCCCAAAGGTCCCACATAGGAAAGAGGCTTCAGAAACATCATGGGAAAATGCCAGTATCTTTTAGTTCCACTTTTCCCATGAACTTCCAGATGTATTGATCAGCTTCTTAATTCCGATGCATTAAAAACAAAGGCAGGTTCAGTTGATCAGATGCTGCTCAAATTGTAAGCATGATCTGATGGAATGCTAGTGGCCTGCCATCCCCCATGCACCTCCTTTGAGAGCACCTCCTTAGAGAGCCACTTGTCCAGTGTCTCCTCTTAGAACAGTACCTGGTTTTGTCACGAGTCTTCATGCAAACCCATTGAGGAATGGGATGGTTCCACCTTTGTTTCTGGACCAGGAATCTCTTGCTCCTGAAAGGCGGTGAGACGACCGAGCCAGGATGGATGGTGGCCGTGTTCACCATGCTGGTAGAGAAAGGGAGAGGCACCCTTTATCCTTGCAGTTCACTAGGACACAGGCACTAGATCTCTGGCGTGCTCCCCTTCTTAGATGTCATCTGAATGGAGTGGTTTCCTGGCAATTCCAACTAAAGTAGCTCTTGCCCTACTTGTCTGTAGTCTGGCATTTTTTGTGTAAGGCAGGGGTGGGGGACCATTCTTCTAAAAGCCCTTCGGATATTTATAACATCATGTGAGGGCCATACAGAATCATCCACTGAAAAACGAGCCTGTATTTGGTCAAACATTTCATTAACTCACTCCGAGTGTGAAGCTGGATCTGCTACTCTGAGGAGGCGTGTGATGTTAGCTGGTATTGATGGTTCCTCAGGCTTTGTGCTGCCTGCTGGCTGGACCTTCCCCACCTCTGGTGTAGGGTATCTGGGAAAATTATTAAAGCCTGCTGGGTTGAGGGTTTGTTTTTGTTTTTAAATTTCTTTGTGAATTGGGTGAATTACAAAGCAATTCAGTGTTATGTCAAAAAATCCATATACATTTTATTCCATGTTATTGATTGGCAATATCACCGCACTTGCTCCTTTATTTTTTCTTTTTATTCGTTCACCTTTCCTAACCCTTCCTGCCTTCTGAACTTTGCCTTTGGGCAAGCACTCTGCTTTTGGCCTCAAAGGGCTGAATGTTACGGAGGACATGCCTCACTAGTGGAACAACTTATCTAAATTGATCCATGAGGGCGAGTTCGCTTTCTGACCTTAAAGGTGACTGAGGGCCATGGCTTCGGGGGTTTCGATTGAGGTTTTCCAGCATGTGTGGGCAAACAGGAGAACAGACCATCAGAACAGAAGAGCCCTGGTGACTGGCGTTTGTCGAGTCTCTGGTATTGTAAGTTGGGCAGTCACATATCACCTCAGTTAATCCTTAATTTATCAGAGTTGGGTAGTAATATCATGTGTTTTACCCAAGAGGCACTTGGAGCTCAGAGACCCTTGTAATCTGCTCCAGGTCATACAGCTTTGAAGTACCAAAAACTTGCATGCTGTGTGCTGATCACTGGAGTCTGTGCTTTTAGCCACTCCCTTACACGATGACCCCTAAAGCGACCTTGACTTCAAGCATTGGGGAATAGAGGTGGGTCATTTCAGACCCCAGACCCACTGCCACTGTGTCGATCCCAAGTCTTAGTAAACCTGCAGGGCAGAGTAGAGCTTCTGGGAATGCTTACAGAATCAGCCTGCCACATCTTCCTCCCTCTGTACACTTGGTGGGCACTAACCAGCGACCTTTCAGTTAGCAGCCGAGGGTTGACCAATGTGCCTGGCAAAGGCCAAGGGTTTTGGTTATTTTAAGGTGGCCCGATAGGACCTGTGTGGTGGCCATGGTTCCCCCTCCCGCCCTTGCCCCGCTACACACAGCTGCAGAGACAGGTCCTGGGAGGGTGAATTGTTCACATTTCAGTCAGTATGAACATTGTGGCCGGGGTTCCGCATTGTCCCTGCCCCTTGTGTTCCATGGCGCTGAAGCGGCTTTGCCTCGGGGAAGTGAGAACTTGGCGAGAAAGGAGAAAGAGGCGAGTGGTTCCCTGGAAGTCTCCCAGGCTAGAGGGGCCTGAGTGCTGGGAGCACCCACCCCGCTGCTGCTCAGGCAGGCGCCTCCCATGGGGGTTCTTCTGGGAGTTCAGAGATGAGAGCCCCTCCCCTCTGCCCCCATTCACAGAAATAGTCTCAGGAGTGGCTGAAATGGGTTTGGCAGCAGAAATTACTAGATTGTGGATTGGCTTTGATGAAGGAGGGGTGTTGGGGTTACTCTCTGGGACCCTGGAGTAGAGGGCTCAAGTCCCTGGCTGTGGCCTGGGAGAGAATGAGGAGGATGTTCCCCTCGCTGACTGGGAGTGGGTAAACCCAGAGCCCACCATGCCCGGACCAGCATCTGGAAATCTCAGTGCTGCTGGTGGGAGCCCTTCCTGTGTTGTCCGACAGTCCAGTGAGACCAGTAACGCAGCAGGCAAGTGTCGGATTCAGGTGTCTGGAGTAAAGCTACAGGAGTGTGACGTCAGAGTGGGCCTGGTCGTTGCTTTAGCACCCCTGCCAAGCCCTCAGCACGGGGAGAGTGGTGGTCCTCTTAGTCATTGCTGCCTCCTTTCCCTGGGCCATCTGAAAGAAAGCCTGTACCCTCTGCATCTCATGGTGGAAACAGGTTGCTCTTCTCCAGGGGCCGGTGTGGATGCTGTCTTTTCCACCTGGTTTGATTCCGCCCAGAGCAATGCCCACCTCACCCGCAGTACTGTACTGGGAAAGATGGTTGGAGACCCTCCAGCAGTATCGGTGTGGAGAAGGGGCTCCAAGCCCAACCCCAAACCTCCCAGTGCTAGCACGGCTACCTCTCTCTGTATTCTTCAGGTGCCTGTGACCTTCGAAGATGTGGCTGTGACCTTCACGCAGGAGGAGTGGGGACAACTGGACCTTACTCAGAGGAGTTTGTACCAGGAGGTGATGCTAGCAAACTGTGGGCTGCTGGTCTCTCTGGGTAAGATCCTCCCCACAGCGACTGTCATTGTCCAGACTCGTCTCTTGGGCAAGAAACACCATTCCCCTTTGACTTCCCTCCCGAGGAATGGGTGTGCTGGAGGACAATGGGTGTCTCGCAGAACCCAGATGCAGGCGTTCCAGTCGGGTCCTGCCGGCAGGAATCCAGGTTGTGCCCTGGCTTCTCTCTGTGGGCCTCTGACTTCCAGTTTTCAGTGCTCCGCTCCCCCAGCCCCACTCCCTCCTTCCCCACTGAGCAGACTCCTGCAGTTTCCCAAGTGCCACCTCCACAGTGGGCCTTTGACTGTGCTGTCCTTGCTGCCTGCTGGGGCTCACGGGGAGTCACATGGCCTGGCACTTTGGGAGCACACTAGAACCTTCACCTGTTTCTGAGTCCAAATAGCATGCCAGCGCCTGCTCTGTCATGTTCTCGTTCTCTCACCACCCTTTTTACACCATCCTGAGCCCCTGGGAAGATAGCACCCCCACCACAACCCAACTCGCTGCCGTCGAATCAGTGCTGGCTCAGAGCGATCCCCCGTGGGTTTCCTAGACTCTTAACTGTTTCTGGGAGTAGGAAGCCCAGGCTTTCTCCCTTGGAGCAGCTGGTGGTTTCAAACTTCCAACCATGCAGATTTCAACCCAACTTGTGATCACTATACCACAGGGCTCCTTTGACAGAGCCTGGGCATCTTTCTGATGGTCACCCCTGGGTGACAGACCTGGAGTGCGGTGAGCACCCTTAAAGTGTGCAGGCCACACGCAGCAATGTTTTCTCGGGACCAGTACAGCAGTCCTGCTGGGGCCGCTCAGCGGCGTTTTCCGTGGGTGCACAGACGGCTCTGGAAGGGGCTGCAGCAGGAGTCATGGCGGCAGTCATGGCGATGATGACAGCAGCAGTAATGGTTAGCTGCCTTCGCAGGACACTCGAGAAAGCCATCCCTGCCTCCCTTGTCTTTCCCACATCTTGAGCATTGGGTCTGTTCACAAGCGGGGACTTCTGACACTCACAGCCCCAGCAGGCCGCGCGTGCTTCGTTTCCGTCTGGGCGTGCTCTTCCCTGGGATGTGCCGCACAGCCAGGTGGCTCTGCTTTTGCAGTGACCAGAACAAAGGGTTATTCCATTTTGGAAGAAATCTAAGAACCATGAAACCCTGGTGGTGTCATCATCGATTGAGCTCAGCTGCTAACAGGAAGGTTGGCCATCAGACCCACCCAGTAGCTCTGTGGAAGAAAGGCCTGTTGATCTGTGATCACCACCTCGGACACCCAGTGAGCAGGTCTGGCTCTCCATGAGGCCCCTGTGAGTTGGAATCGACTCAGTGGCACACCACAGCAAGAACCAGAACAGTAGGCACTTTTCAGAAAAGCTGTTGTGAACGTGTAGCTGCCCCAGAGGGTGTCCAGGCTTACAAAAGCACACTGCCACATTTTTGTCCATAGGAACACTGATTGGTTCAAACCACTGACCTTAGTTATAATTAGCAGCTGAGTGCTTAATCACTGTGTGACTTTGGGGACTTGGTTACACCCCACACGTTGTCATACTAGAATTCAGGGGAGCCCTAGGTGCAGTGGTTCAAGAACCCCTTCTGAGACAGTTTGACTTCATTCTTAGGGTTGCTATGAATTGGAATTGACCATTGGCAACGTGTTTGGTGTTTATCGGGGCTGAAACTTTGTGGCAGCGTGGCAAGTTGAGGAATACGTTGACCTGGGGCTGTATTGCAAGTCTTTGAAGGAGGTGGCATTTGAGCTGAGACCCAGAGAATTCGAGTTAGCGTGTGGAGCAAGGCAGCCAGCAGGGGCATACAGATTCTAAGTGGAGGAACCCAAGGGTGCAAAGGCCCTGGGCTTGTGAGGAGCATGACTCCCACTAGAGAGGAAGAAACATCCCCTCCTTTTCCCATTACTGAGCTCAGTGCTAAGCTTTCAGCAGATGCCAGCTTGAATCTGCTTAGCATTCACTGGTTAAATCTTGGCCTGCGGTTTAGGCTCTGCTGTTTGAACTTCCTGTGGGTCTGATGCCTCATCCACTGGCTGACCTTTAGAGCCATCGGGGTTTTGCCCCTGCATCTGTTAGTACCTGCTGGGCTCACATGGGTCACCTCCAGGCAGGGCTCCAAACTGGTTCGAACCGGGCCAGTCACTCCTCGCGTAGACAAGAGCTGTATGTGCAATGCATACCAGCCACATCTGGTGCCCAGGGTGTTTTCATCTGAGTAGGAAACAAACAAGAACTTGGGCAGTGCAGTGAGCTGCTAGCTGGAAGGTCGGCAGTTTAAACCCACCAGCCCCTCTGGGAAAAAGATGAGGCAGGTCTGCTTCTGTTTAGATGAACCGCCCCAGAAACCCACTAGGGCAGTTCTGTTCTGCCCTGTAGGGGCTGCTGTGAGTCAGAAGCGCCTCCCTGGCAACCAGTTTCAGGAAACCAAACAACTGTGCCTCACTGAAAGACCACTACTGGTCATGCCAGCTGTGAATGTGTGCTGCTCTCCAGAGTCCAGCCAATAAAACCCTGCAGTGGGCTCCCAAAGCACTCTGGCGGAAGAACTCTGACCGGACTTTTGGAGAAGCACATTACTGGCAGGACCCTAGAGAGCAACACCCACCCAGAAAGAGCAGTGTGGTTGGCCGCCATCTGAGCAGGCCCAGCTATTTGCTCCCCACGTGCATCATCAACCTTGTTTAAGGTGGCAATTTGTATTGAACTCTTGAAACCTGTTTGGGGCCCTGCCTGATGGAAATACATTACGCCGCCTAATGAGATGCTCGGGTGGAGGAGGCTCTTAGGTTGGTAGGACATATGACAGTCCAAGTCTGTTTCTTCGCCCTCTTTCCTTGGTCCTGCTCCTCAAGTGAGTTCTCTGGCAGTGGTCGCAGGATGCTCGGGGCATTGGGGGTGGCAGGTCCCCTCAGTCCTGCTTTCTGGAGTGAAGGCTCACACTTGAACGAGTGGCTGGCCTGGTCACCCGCCCACCTCCCATGACCGAGATCGGATGCAGTGGGCACGCGGAAGGGAGCCACGACTGGGAAAAGGTAGAGCCTGCTGTTCCCCAGGCTTCCTCGCCCGGAGTCACTTCCGTTGATCTGTGGGTGGGAACCAGTCAGCCCCAGGGGGCTCTGTTCCACTGGCTGGGGAGACCCAGGGACTGAGATGCATTAGACAACACCCCTGGAAGGAGGGCTCGTTTCTGTGGGTCTCAGGCTGTCTGTGAACAGTGTGGGTGTGCTGTCGGCTGCAGTGCAGAAGGAACGGTGCTAGTCGAGCAGCCTGTCTCGGGGCCCATGGGGGGGGGGGTGTCCTCGATGAGTGGCAGGCCTTGGCAGCGTGGATGGGAGCGGCTTCGTTCCCAGGTCTCTTTCTCACCCTGAAGCCCCAGACTGGACTGCGCTTTAAGTTCTTCTCTCAAACACCTCTGTGGCCTTTCCATTCTCCACGAACAGGGTGTCCTGTGCCCCGGCCAGAGCTGATCTACAAGCTGGAGCTCGGGCAAGAGTTACAGGCCGTGAAGAAAGACCTGTGCCAGAGCCCCTGTCCAGGTGGGTTGACTGGGAGCTGGGCAAGTGGGAGGCCCTGCAGACTGGGAGGAGACCACTGACCCTACTTGCTCCCCCGGCCCAAGGTTGTAGGCACTCTGACTCTGCCGTGTGTGCCCTCACCCCCACCCCTTCATGTGCTTCATTGCTCTTGAGGAGGAGGGTGCCCCGCCTTGTTATGCTTCACAGAAACTGCCCGTGTCCTTGTTTACTCACAGATGGATAGATTATGGCCACTCTGTGTGCAGCAAGTCTGTTGGGGACACGTTTCTAAAACCTGTGCTCAGTTCATGCCTTTGTCACATTTTGGTCATTTTCTCACAATTCCACGGTTTTACCTAATGCTATTGTATATGTGTATTGAGACTACTCTAGTGTATACATCACCTTTTTTTTAATCAGCAATTTTATTTATTAAAAAAATCGTATTATAAACGAAGGTTTACAAAGCAGAGCATCAGTCTTACATTCAACAATTCACACGCTTTGTCTCACCTCACTGACTGCAGTCCCCACGATGTCCCACCCTGTATTCCGTTTACTGGTTTCTTGGTGATCTTCATGTAGCATCTACGTTCCCTCTCGATACTTGCTTGCTTTTGTGCCTAAGCTGCTCCTGTCATAGCTTAAAAGTGATGGCCTAAAAAAAATTCTACACTGATAGGGTTTCATTAACAACAAAGAAGGTCCTATTCCCATATAGGATTATATCCACACATATAGGTGTTAGGAATTCCAATATCCACTTTTCGGATATACAATTTGATACAGAATAGTAACATTTCTAAGAGTGGGATTACAGGCTATGTGAATACTCAGTGCTACAAGATAATTTCCATTTTCCCCAAAGGCCTTATACCATTTAAACTTCACAAGGAAAATACATGCAGGAGGTTTCATTGATCTGATATGTGAGACTAAGGCTCCTTCGTTGTTGTCAGTCAAGTGGATACAAAGTACTGTCTTAGCAGTCTTGATTTGTATTGCTCTCTTTGTTGGAGAATTTGAACATTTTAATGTTTTGTGGACAATCTATATATATTTATTTATTTTTGGTTTTCTGGGTCTGCAGTTTTGTTTTTTTATGTTTTCATCTATTCGGGAACACTAGTTCATAAGATTTTTCTATTAAGCCATTTGCTCTTCTCTTCTTGATGTGTATTTGTACATTCCTGATGGTAACTTTTTCGTCAGTATATTTGCTGGAAATGCACTCTGGTCATTTTTAGCATTTTTTGTTCATTCTCTTTGAAGTATATTTTAAATAGGTTCTTATCTTGGTGTAGTTTGGTTTATAAATATTTTAAGGATTTAATTACTTATTAAAAATTTTTGCATTACTCCATTATCAAGAAGATGTTCTCATTTATTTTATATCAGAAGCGCTAAATTTGGGGCTTGACATTCGTCTCTATTGCTCTGAGGTTGGATTGAGTATAGTGTGCAGTTGTATGTGTCCCTCAGGAGAGGAGCCAAATGTTCTAGCTGTTAGGTAAGTGGTCTCTCTTCCGATGTGACTGAGCTCGCTCTTCTTTGCCTTTGCCAGTTTGTCTCAGCTCTGTGCCAGGACTGCGCCCCTCAGTGATGTATGAGTTCATGATAATGCTGTTCCCTTACAGGGTTGAGTCCCCTCCTTCCTAAGGAGATAGTATTGGCTCTTTGCCTTTATACATGAATTGTGGAATCAGATGATTAAGTTCCATGGTGAATCCAATTGGGATTTTATGTGAAGTTTTATGTATTGAACCCAGACATTGATTTGGCTGGAATTGTCGGCTTTATATTGCTTCTCTAGGTATAGAGTGCTTCTTTTACGTGTTACGTTTTAAAATCTTACTCATTTAAACAATGTTTTGCTACTCTTTTCACCTAGCTGTTCCTCAGGCTTACCAGACTTGCTGTGTCCATTTAGATTCTGCTTATGATCTAAGCCATGTCCTGGGAGTTAGAAGTTGGGTACTAGGATGTGATAGTTAAGGTTTATTGTGCCAGCCTGGCTGCTGAAGGGCAATTTAATTGAAGGGCCGAGAGATAAAGGGCTTGGTGAGCCTTGTCTGTCTGGTCTCTTGCTCTCTGATGGTCAGAGCAGTTGCAGCTGCCTTAGCTAGTTTTCTGCCTCAGCTGGCAAGGCTCACTTCCTGCGAGACATCCCTGAGGAGAAGCCACATGGACCTACCCCAGTGCAGCCCTGGGTGCTGGAGCAGCCGTGTGGAAACCCCTGCCAGCGCTGAGATGCTTACATGCTCAATGATTTGGCTTTCCTCCTGCATTCGGCATCATTGCATGTATTTTGTAAGTTTGAGGAGGACTTTGTAGATCAGTGTTGGACATATGGGCTAATGTCGGACTTAGGGGCTTGGGCAGCACTGGGTTGGGATATTTTCTTGATGTGCACTTACCCTTTATATAAAACTCTCTTATACACATAAGAGTTTCTGTGGATTTGTTTCTCTAGTCTACCCACACTAACACATAGGCGTAACCATAACCATCTCCACTGTCACCCAAGAGTAGAGCCTTGACATTCAGCCTCCCTTCTGCCCTGCCTGTCTTCTCTTCTGTTCCCTGGCTTCTCCGAAGACTCTGTGCCTTGTCTGCTCTGTCTCCTAGGCTGCATCACCCTTCCCTTTCTTTGTGTGGGTTCCTGTGTCTGCATTAGGAACCCATTCAGCCCCTCCTTGGGGACATCTCTCCCTGATCTCTTCCCGTCTCCTATTTGGGCTGCAAATAGGAGTTCCTAGCACCATGAGATGGCCTCGCTTCAAGCGCATTCACCATACACAGTGTCATTACTCTCTTCCCTCAGCACTTCTGGAATCGAAAAGGTGTTTCTGCTTCAGACCCTCTGTCCTCTGGTCTATAAAGGGGTCAAGAGTCCAAGGATGACAAAGGAAAGCAATTGCGCACGTGGGCTTCAGAGATGTTAAAGGACAGCAGGCACAGAGCACTATTTCCATCTGCTCACTGAAGTGGTTTGTTTGTTTGTTTTATGTTGGCATTACTAATCGGCTCTGTTATATCTTTCAGGGGACAAAGCAAGACTTAAGACCACAGAGCCAACCACTCCTGCTCTGACCTTCTCAGAGGGAACTTTAGTCCATGGACCCCTGACACAAGTGTCCTCCAAGGATTCTCAGGTGGGACAAGACAGGTGTCAGGAGGGACCACCAGAAATACAGGACCAACACTTGAGACCAGACATAGATACCCAGAAGGAGCAGCTCCCTTGGGGAAAAAGCCCTGGGCATGATGGTTTGGGGACAGGTAATGATATGTGTTCAAGGACTCCACAGGAACAAATCTCTGCAGGAGATGCGGTCCATGAAAGTAGCTCACATGGATCTGCTAAAGATGGCGAGACTCATGAAGAGAGAGATCCCCATATCTGTAAGGAATGTGGAAAAGTGTTTAACAAGAAACGTCTTCTTGCCCAACATGAGCGCATTCACTCTGGGGTGAAGCCCTATGGGTGCACAGAGTGTGGGAAGTTCTTTCGGAAGAGCACTTACCTCCTTCAGCATCACATGGTCCACACTGGGGAGAAGCCCTTTGAGTGCACAGAGTGTGGGAAGGCCTTCAACCGAAGATCACACCTTACACAGCACCAGAGAATTCACAGTGGGGAAAAGCCTTACAAGTGCAATGAATGTGGAAAGGCCTTCACCCACCGCTCCACTTTTGTCTTGCACAAGAGGAGCCACACTGGAGAAAAGCCATTCGTGTGCAAAGAGTGTGGGAAAGCGTTTCGTGATCGGCCAGGCTTCATTCGGCACTACCTCATTCACAGCGGAGAGAATCCATATGAGTGCTTTGAGTGTGGGAAGGTCTTCAAACACAGGTCCTACCTAATGTGGCACCAGCAGACTCACACTGGGGAGAAGCCCTATGAGTGTAGTGAGTGTGGGAAAGCCTTCTGTGAGAGTGCAGCCCTCATTCACCACTACATCATCCACACTGGGGAAAAGCCCTTTGAGTGCACAGAGTGTGGGAAGGCCTTCAACCACAGGTCATACCTCAAGAGGCACCAGCGGATCCACACTGGGGAGAAGCCCTATGTGTGCACTGAGTGTGGAAAGGCCTTCACCCACTGCTCCACGTACATCTTGCATAAAAGGGCCCACACTGGGGAAAAACCATTTGAGTGCAAAGAGTGTGGGAAGGCCTTCAGCAGCCGGGCTGACCTCATTCGACACTACACCATCCACACTGGGGAGAAGCCCCATGAGTGTGTTGAGTGTGGCAAGGCCTTCAGCCGCAGGTCTGGCCTTACAAGACACCAGCGTATTCACAGTGGAGAGAAGCCCTATGAGTGCGTTGAGTGTGGGAAAACTTTTTGCTGGAGCACAAATCTCATTCGACACTCAGTCATCCACACACGAGAGAAGCCTTATGAGTGCAGTGAATGTGGTAAGGCCTTCTGTCGCAGCTCTTCCCTCACTCAGCACCTGAGGATTCATACTGGGAGAAGCCCTGTCCATGTGGCAGATGGGAAGAGGCCTTTTAACGATGGGCAGACCTCGGTCAACATTCAAGAACTCTTCCTAGGGAAAGACTTTTTGAATGTAACCAGGGAGGGGAATCTTTGGCCCGAGGAACCATCTTACTCAGCAGCTGATTGCTCGTACCAAAGGGACAGCTCGCATGGGTCATCCCGGTAAGGAGTGATCTGTGGCTGAAGGGGTGTATTAGAGATGGACCACCGACACCCCCAGGGGCCATTGTGCACTTGGGAAAGCCTTCAGCCACATTTTATGCCTTAGTTTACACTGCAGTTATCTCAGGAATTTTTTTCTTTTTTAAATAAGGAAGTGTCAGAGAATATAGCGGAAAAGGGAAACTTTTTCAGGTTTTCTGCCAAGCCTATGACAGTTTGTGATGACTTCCTTATTTTATTTGGGGTCGGGAAAGCCTTGTCCCCTTTTCTTGGCTATTCCACACGGCCTGGTGTCCGCTGAGTTCAGTCAGTTGAGAGCAGGGCAGAAAAGCCTCTGAAAGCCTTTGTTCCACAGTATTGTCTCTTCTCTAGGAGCCTCAATCTGTGAGGAATACGTAGCATTCTCACGGAATCCTTTGATGTTTAATAAGGACACATACAAATGGGCACATTTTATTGCACACTTAGGACTGTTGTTTTATTAATGTACTTTTTTTTTTATTATTAATGTACTTTAACAGAAGATTCTTTTCTTACTCCTCTCCTACTTCTTCAGTTTTTTGCTCTAGCTCTGTGGTAAATATTACAGTTGGGTAAAGTGACTCCTCTCTCATATTTGAAATGTGTTCAAAGTTTATTTAGCATCCTTAGTTTCTTTGGTTTTCCATTCCACAAATTTCCACCCCACTATTTCAGCACCATCCCACAAATTTTTATAAGTTTTAATGTTTTTATTCAGTTTTAAATATATCTTGATTCTTTTTGAGATGCCCTCTCTGACTCTAAGATTATCTAGAAGTGTATATTATTTCCTGGTATATTTTCTTTACAGATTTCTTTTTTTGTTTCTTGTTCAATCTGAACACATACTCGGTGTGATTTCTGAGCATTGAAATTATTGGCGTTTGTTTTGTGACCCAGAACATGAATGGTACCTCTTGTTGAATGTTCCTTGAGTGCTTGGTGAAAATGTGTATTCTGCCACTGTTGTGTTGTATGTTGTGTAAATGTGTATGCGATCCTGTTGGTTGATTTTGCCATTTAGATTTTCTGTACCCTTGTTGATTTTCTGTCCAATTTTTCTATTTCATTTCTGAGAGTGGTAAGGAAGTCCCCAACTGTAATTGTCAATTTGTCAATTCCCCCTTTACTTTCTGTCAGGTTTTACCTCATGTACTTTAAAGTTCTGTTGTTGGATGTATAGATATTTAAGATTGCTATGTATATATACATATATATTATATATCGATCCTTTTATCATTATGTAATGTCCTTCTTTCTGCCTGTTCATTTTCTTGGCTCTCACATAACCTTTTCTGCATTTTATAATGAATATTTTCATGGTTTATCATTTTTCATCAGTTTATACCCAACCTTCCCTGTATCATTATATTTGAAGTTTCTTTTGAACAGCTTATCCATTCGGCTGATGCCTATCTTCTTACTGATGTATTTAAACCCTTTATATTTAAAATAATTCTTGATCTAAGGTCTGGGTTTTTTGTGTTATTTTGATATGTTGAGACATAAAGTCTGCCATTTCTGGTTTTTTTTTTAGTACTCATGTTTCTTTTGCTTCTGTTGTTTTTTATCAAGCTGGGGATTTTTTTGCTTCATTATTTCAACATTTTCAGAATTGTATCAATGTACTTATAATTCCAGTATTATGGATTTTTGGAGTTATGTAGCAATTGTTTTAGAATTTTAATTTGTATATATTTTATAGTCTACTGGTATCAGCATTTTAGCACTTTGATGTATAGGAAATTTACTTCTATTTGATCTTCTTAAATATCCAATCCTACACAGCATATTGGGTAAGGAGTCTGGTAAGCATTGGCCTGCTAGCCGCAAGCAGGGATTCAAGCCAACAGCTGCTCTCTGAGCCATCATGGGAAGGCACAGTCTCAGAACCCCTGGGCAGAGCCACTGTGAGTCGAATTAATGGCAGCAGGTTTTTTTTCTTATTATTGGATGGTGTTATTTTGGGTTAAACTATCAAACATTTTTCTAAAAGCTCTTGAGAAAGGTAGTCTTTCATTGCTTTCACCTCTTCCATTGTCTTTCTTCCTACCTGAGATCTCAAGACCTTCACTATTGACACCTCCTTTTTTTAAAAATTGTTTTGTTGGGGGGCTCGTACAACTGTTATCGCAATCTGTACATACATCCATTGTGTCAAGCATATTTATACATTTGTTGTCATCATCATTTTTTAAAGTTTCTTTCTACTTGAGCCCTTGGTATCAGCTCCTCATTTTTCCCCCTCTCTCCCCTCCTTCCCTCATGAACCCTTCATAATTTAACAATTATTATTACTTTTCCATGTCTTGCACTGTCCGATGTCTCCCTTTACCCCCTGGGAGAGGGTTATAGGTAGGTCATTGTGATTGGTTCCCCTTTTCTCCCCCCAGCTTCCCCTTCCCCTCCTGGTCTGGCTGCTCTCACTCAGCGTGGCTCCCAAAGACTTTTTCTCTAACACCTTTCTTTTGGAGTGCTCCCTCTTGCCTTCCTTTTCTTTTGCATCTGCTGGTGACGAACTGATTTTGTTTTACCTCTTATGAATGTGCCTTTATTGTTCCCTGCAGTCCTCAAAGGCCTGTTTGGGGGATATGAGTGTGGGTTGTCAGTTCTTTACCCCCAAATCATGGTGCCACTCGCTTCTGGACTGTGTGGTTTCAGATTGCAATCTTCTGCCACTTGAAGCGTTTTTTCCCTTCTGTGCCAAGCATCATTCTATCTTACCTCCTTTCCAAATGTTTTCCTTTGTAATGTTCAGAATTTCATAATGCATCAACTTGTAATACTTCCGGCCTATAATTTATCCTGGCTGGTATTTACTCAGGTTTTAAAATATGTAGATGTGTCATTTGTTAAACTTCTTGGAGTATTTTCAACTGTTTTGTTGTTGTTTTTCTTAAGGATCACCTTCTCTCCTCGATTTCTCGGACTCCATTAACACAAACTATTCTTTCCTTAGTTTCCCACAGGTCCCTGAGCCTCTCAGTCGGTTTTCTCTTTGTTGTTGGTTCTTTGCTACTAATCTCACCTCTGTCATCTCTAATCTGCAACTGGGCTTGTTCAGTGGGTTTCATTATGTTTCTGCTGTATCATTCTCATTTGGTTCTTTCTTAACCCTTCTTTCTTTGCTGCATTTGCAGTGCCAAAGAAGGACTCTGGAATACAAAACAGTGTGGTCAAAAGTCGTAGTACTTTTTGGTAGTTTGTGTTAATAGTAAATTAGAAATGCCAAGTCATTTGCAGGGATGTGAGACCTGTAGTCTTCCACACAGGGATTCTCCAGATACTTCAAGAGTAGAATGTACAGCTTAAGGAAACCTTCAAGTGGTATACAGATAGGTATTCCTCGCCTGGTGCGTGTGTGGAATTCCACAGAGCTCTCAAGGTCTTGTTGGAGCATCAAAGGAGAATGGGTCGCCTCTCTTCCTCGATCACCCTTTTTCTCTCTTTTTGACCATGTTCCCTCCCAACTTGTCCAAGACCTCTCAACATTGTTCTTTTATCCACCGATTAGTTCTTCTTTAACATCTCTCCCTTGAGCAGCTCTTTCCTCGTCGTCTATAGCTATGTTTGTGTGTTCAGGCTCAACCTCAGCCTCCCTACTCTGCTTGCCCTTTCTTTCACTAACAAATGCACTTGTGCAAATGTCTTGTGAACTGTGAGTCTACACCCTCCTCTTGCTGTTTATCCCACAGGTCATCAGTGTCTGCCACCACAGTTACCTGACTGAAAACAGGCTTCAAAGAGGACCCTGTTGCCTTTCCCTCCTTGTTGGCCCTGTGTACTGATGGTCCTCTTCTGTGACTTACACGGAATCTCCTGGAGCCTGTGTTTTCCCGACATTCATTTGTGAAGGCTCTGTGCCCTCCTGCTATCGCTTAAACATGTTTGCTTCCTGCGGGGGAAAGGAGTGACCCCAATAAGCCGTCACTGGCCCGGTAGGCACAACTGTGTGGCAATAATAGGTAAAGATTACAGTGAAGTCACAGAGAGCATGAGAGATAGAAGAGTCAAATAAGTCAGACATGCCTCATGGTAGCATGCTCACCTCCTGGATGGCCATGTCTTACCGGCTAGGTAAGGTGAGGCGAGGTGGGGCGGAGACCCGGCAGCCAGCTGGAGACCCAGCAGGTGATTCCAAGACTCTGTTTATTGCTAACCAAGGGTTATATCTACTGGGGGGGGGGGGGGGGCATGATTGCAGGTAACCACACGGCACAGGAAGTGGCAGTACAATAGGCGTACACATCAGAGGAAGGGGCGATACACATGATAGGAAGGGGAGGAACTAGAGGCATACATGTGACAAGATGGGCGGACCCTAGTTTCATGATGGCGGCCTAACCTGGGCCACCTTTGGGTGGGCTTGACCTCTCTGGCGTCTACTAGGAGGAAACAGTCAACTATCCTTATCTGAAGGGAGTGGGTCTTGCTTGTGGGATAAACAGTGGTGACTGCTTGCTCTAGATGGCTCGTAACCCTTAGGGAGAATAATCCCTGATCTACTTCTGATGACCTCCCAAGTGTATAGTCATTAGCAAGCAGCTAAGTTTGGCATATATTTGGGGGAGACAACTTAGGAGAAATCTTTCTGTTTCCCACAATTCCCCCTTTTGTTTTATACATGAAATTCAAAAGAGCCACAGTGGCTACATGGTTATGTTCTATACATTGAAAGCTCTCAAGACAAATTTCATGACCAAATTAATATAGCCTAAAAGTCAGGCTTATAGAAAACATTTTGAATCCAGGCACGGGGGATAAAGTCCCCCTAAGCCCATCTGCTAGTAGAGGAAGGTATGAGAGGGATTGGATACCACGGCAGGAAGAAATAGACCAAATAGGAGTGTCTGCTTCTGTAGTAATAGCTGCCAGCCGCACAGCAACCAGCTATGTGCCAGTAAGAGACAACCTCAAAACGGCACCATACACGAGGGTAAAGTGGGGACCAGTATGAGAATGTGATTAGGACTCACAACTCAAAAGAGTGAAGGCCCCCCTCCACCTCTAGATACCTAGCCTGCCAGGCTTTTTTGTGAGAATAAGAGGTTCGTCCTTAAACACTCTCTTCCCATTGTCTGCTTCCCACAGCACTTGCTCTATGGGCAAACTTCAAAAGTGCCATAGAGGCTGTATGATTCTCCTTCACACGCCTCAGCTTTCTATAGAAGCAACATGTGATAGCCAGGACACAATTTATGATTATGAGCAGCACTGATAGGCTGGAACCCAGGCTATGAGAAATACTTTGAACCCAAGCTCGTGGATCCAACCCTTCCATGCTATCCACCAATTGCTTAATCGTATCGGAGCCAGGAGACACCTCAAGCTTGTCTTTGAATATATAGAAAATATCCTTAAGCTGATCGACGTCAATGAAATATTTCCCTTAAACCCTTGCAAGTGTTTCCTAATCAAATTCCCATCATGCGATGTCTTATTATATGGGTAAAGGGTTATACAAAAGTCCGTTACATTCCAATCACATTTTAACATTGATTGATGTTGCAAGTTCATAATTTGATCTCCCAACCACTGGACAGTTAATTTGCTGCAGCTCTGCTACTTCCCCCCGCCCCTCAAGTTCATCGTCCACCTTTGCCTGAGTGGCCCAGAGCTGACGTGAGTTCACTTGCCACTTCTGCACGAAATGCTCAGTTTTGATGGACTCTTGTAGAGCACTCCCAGCGACGGCAGCAGTGGTGGCAATAGTTATAAGTCTGATTATAGCTGCGATTAACATTCCCACAAATCAGTAAGGTCTTTTTAGCATCTCTGACACCACTTGCGTCGAGGGACAATTCTGGACCGCTCTCCCATGTGCGCTTCATCTCCACCGGGATCCACATCTCTCTCCTTTAGTATGAGGATGCTGTCCTTCGGAAGGTTTACAAGCAGAGCATGGTTAATGCAAGTGAACAATGTACAATTATGGCAAATGGCACTGCGAGCAGTTTCATTTATGATGATGTTTCCTACAGAAGCACATAAGGCAGTTTACACACGAGACTATCGAGTCTCCTTCTTGTGAAAAGTATAAGTATAGCCAGACTGACTCGTGCCAGGAAAGCTTCCTGTGTGTAGCCTGTTAAAGGCTTATGGCAAGCGGTAATTTCCACAGGTCCCACTGTTCAGGTCCTGTCACGGGCTTCAGTAACCTGGGCCAGGGAGGCGCAAGGCCCCTTCATGCCAGGCCATCAGCTCTGACCTGGTAGTGGCAATGCCATTTGGGGTCTTTTGCCACTCCCAATTACTTATCACATGGAGGTGAAATTGGATTCCTCTGAGCAGTTAGTTAGAAACTTTCTGTGGGGGCCCAAATCAGTGATAGCCATGGTGTCATTTCTTAACACCTTTCCATGTGGTCCCTGACATTTGAGCCATTTGAACTTGTCAGCAAGAACATGCCGGTAACTCTTAACTTTACAGGTTTCCATATCTCCTCTCCCCTCCACACTAGTGGAGTTTTCACATTCTACAAATGTTTCACTCATTACCATATAGAAGCCATAGCTGGTTTTGTTAAAGACCAGCCAGGTATTCCATGCCTGCGAGTTAACGGCTAAACAGCTAGGGCTGGCGCCCACACATAGAGGCAGAGTTTCAAAACCCAGAGTGAAATTAAACTGTTTGGTTTATCAGATTGTCTGGTTATTCCCTCAACTCTCGGAGCACAGCATGAGCTTCCCTCCTTTCTTCTGGGCCTTGGTGGCTGAAAAGAAATCCACTTTTCTTCTTTGCCTGTGGAAACAAGCAAATATCCACTCCTCTCGGGTGTCAGCAATCTGGAAAAAGATTTATGATTAAGATTTTGTGATTCCTTCATGTTCATTTTTCTCCCAATGTGATTGTATCCTAAAGGGGCCATCAGCTTTACTCTGCAAAAACATAAATGCATAGCCCTCTCTCCAGGTGACAAGTGGACCTGAATCCCAAATGTGATTTCCATCTTGGGACTCCTTAGGATCAGCCTTTTCTGTGGAAGTGAGAATGTGTTTATCTGCCCTAATTTCATTACAAACTTTTAGTAAGGAGAGAAATGTTTTGGTAAAAATGACCAGATGAAATTTGTCACTCATAAGATTCATTTTCTCCCCCTTCTGTTTTAACAGTGCAGATGTTAAAGCACTGCTGGCAATCTTAGTTAACTTGTTAGG